CACTGGCCTATCACTATTATCTAAGGAATGAATGTGGATCATTTGGGGAAATAACCACTACTTTATCATGTGACAAGACATTGAACTGTCTTTACTGACAATAACTCTGAAATTTACTTTTTTTAAAACTGTAAATTGTTTCAATTCACCTGCTTGTCATAAATTTGTTAATATTTATTGTGTCATATTGGTATCAGTGATGGTTGAATATATTGAAGTACAATCATTGGTTCTGTAAATATTAAGCCATAAGCTAATCTTTGAGATGACGATTCTTTGTTTTAACATACATAAACTCTTGAACCTAATTTTATAAAATTGATCTGTATATGTAATTTAATCTATTTTTAGAAAGACAAAGACCTGTAGATTTTACTGGTGTATATTCTTATAAAGATAAATGTCTTAAATCTGGTTAGTATTTATTATTTATAAACCATACATCTTTTTACTTATTATGATTTCAGGTAAGTGGCTTATTATGGTAAACGGGAAGTATCATTTTCTACAAGGATAGTCTATACTTGGTCTCTGCTGTTTATATATCATTAAATCGTACTGAAATGCAGATTTGTTTTTATTAACAATGTAATATTACTGATATCAGTGACATGTGCCTGAAAACCTGTATTGTCACTTCTGCTCTTCTGTCAATATAAATGAATTGTCAAAATAATTAATCAGTCTCTAGGTGCTTCTGATATGAATACTCTTTTTGTAGGTATTGTACCAGTTTCATTTGTTGTAAGAAATATTGGTAAACGTTGTATAAAGATGAGACATCATTATATCGGAGGTGAAGGAGTAAAACCTTTAGCTGAAGCCTTGAAGGTTAGATTTGTTGAATTATCATGAAGTTCTTGCCAAAAGCAGTTATTTAAAAAGCAGAAACTTAGATGTGTCTGGTAATGGTTTCCTTCAATCATATTTTTTCATCCTTGTGAACAAATATATTACTGTTTGTAGGTGAATACTGTAACTGAGTATCTTGATTTAGGTGATAATTATTTAGAAAGTAAAGGAGCATGTTATGTAGCCAACATGATGTTAGATAACCTATTTATAGTCAGCTTGGTAAGTAAGATCTTTTTCTTTGTCTAATTCAGATTACA